GTATTGATTGCATAAAACGTGGCGTTTATTACATCAGACGTTAACACAAATCGCTTATCAATTAATAGTTATTTAAATAATTTATTTCTCGAAAACTCATTTCACGGAAAGGAAAGTCGTGTTTGAAGTGATTTTTTCTCACAATCTGTTCCTCTCTTTTGCCTCTAAAATGCATTTCAAATTATTATAAAGTTTTTTTTGTTTGTTTTATTTGTAACCAAACAATAAAAATAAAAGTTGCGGTGAATTTGTATTACACACTGGGATGTGATCTCAAGGCAAACAACTCAATGATATTTACGGCTATGAATGAGGTTTGAGTCGCTGTTGTGGGGGACCGGCATTCAGGTCAGCTCTCAGCGCACGGGCAGTCCATCCCCACCACCACTTCATCGCATGCTTTAATCAATTATTCAGTTATATGTTATTTAGTATTCAAATGATATTCATAATTAATATGCTATTTACTGATCCAATAGTTGCCGCTATTAACTAATAAGCAATAAAGCGGTAGTTATGAATAGTTTGGGTATAGTTTTCAATGTTTTGCATCTCTTTTTATTTATTAATAACTGGTTTTTGTTTGTTTTAAAGAGAGACCGATATTTACTATTAATACATAACTCTTCCTTTCGTTGATTAAATACATTGAGTGCACAAAACAGTTAGACATTTACTGTCCTTGACTTACAATTCAATTCAATAGAGATTTTATTTTTATATATTTTGTCACAAAAGAAAACTTTTTGATTAAAACTCCTGTTTAGCGAAAAACTCATTGCATTTCAATAGTTGTCGTTTTGTGTGCGAACTGTTTAACTAGTTTTTAAGTCGTTTTGATTTATTAAAACGTTATTAAAATATTACAAACCATTTATAAGATATACAGTATTATTCAAAACACATATTTCCGATTAAATGACATTTTTAGTCTAATTTGTGTTTTATTTTTCCGTCTATAATAACCTCCTATTCTCTGTTTTGAAACAGTTATTGATTTTTACGATATAACTAATTGTTTGTCTCGAAATATAATCATTACATTATAATACGAATCCATAATAAAAATATATTAATATTTATCTGTTTTTCATGTTTAGTATACTCTTTGAAAGGACTTTATTTCATAAATAGCTCTCACTTTTCAATTGTATCTGAATTTTCATGTGTTTTATGATTAATATTCTCGTAATTCAATCGTTTGAAACATTATTTCGCGATTATTTTAATCAAGAAATTTGTGTCAGAATTTAATTTATTGAAATTTTGATATATTTAGAGCCAAACAAAGCTCTAAATTCATACATATTTCAAGATATTTTTAAACTGTTATCGCGATTTATCACTACAAATGTCATCAGTAGTTACCAAACTGTTTTCCAAACGGAAAAGTAATGTTTAATTTTAATGAATATATTTATTTAATAACATTTTTAATTAAAACTAAAAATAATATTTATAAAATTGATTTTAACTTTTGATTTCTCCATTGATTATATCTCCAGATTCATTAAAGTCACCGCAAAGTCCGGAACCGTTACCTTCAGGCATGTCTAACACTCGTTACCCGCAGATCGGAAAACCCGCCCCGGATTTCAAGGGAACAGCTGTAGTGAACGGCAACTTTAAAGAGATCCAATTGAGCGACTATAAGGGCAAATATCTCATCATTTTCTTCTATCCATTGGATTTGTGAGTGATTTCTGTTATTAATAATTACGAAAATCATTACATTTTTGCTATATTTGTCTAAATTTCTCGGTTTAATGTTTCATGAAATATGCCATTACTTTATTGCTTCAAACCAGTCATAATATAACGTATAATTGGTTTCAATATCATACTTATAATCCCTTAACAACTGTTAACTCTAACATTTTAAATGACAAGAATCGGTAATCTATTGTCTTAAAAGTTACTTTAATTGATATAAAAATAATTAATTTTTTTTATTTTTAAATCTGAATTATTAACCAATAGATGGAGATTTATACTGTAATTGACTACTAATTTATTAATTCAGTGTATTATTTCATGGAATATTAACCTTGATAAAATGATTTGTGAAATATTACGCAAACTATCGTTATATTTAATGCAATAATTAATTGTTGTTTTATTTGGCATTTATTTGAATGTACAGTACGTTTGTCTGTCCGACGGAAATCATATCATTCAGCGACCGATCGGATGAGTTCCGTAAGACTAACTGCGAGATCATTGCCTGTTCTGCCGACAGTCACTTCAGTCACTTGGCCTGGTATGTGATCACGAGATCAATATTTACATGATATTCACGTGATTGCGATAATTGTGTCATATTTATTGATTGGCTTCAATCATGTGTCACTTATCTAATCCATTATCGAGACACACATGTCATGTGATATACATTTGACATTTCAATGAGTGGTAATAATGTGTTGTCTGTGTTGTACTGACCCATAGGGTGAACACATCGCGAAAAGAGGGCGGTTTGGGCCAAATGAAGATCCCGTTGTTGGCCGACAAGAACGGAAAGGTGTGTCAGGACTACGGCGTGTATTTGGAAGACGCG